ATGAATGAAAAATACTTTATTCATCCCAGAAGGGAAATTCAATTGTATGTAAAAATGTATGAGATGTCAGGCTGCTCTGAATTAACAGCACTGGTAGTCACCAAAATCATTTCTGTAATGCTTAATAAACCAGTATGTAGAAGCTCTTTAACCAAAATGATATTTTTAATGCTAAAAACTCATTATTATTGTTGTCCACGAACTTTTTAAATTGACTGCTTTACAAAAAAAAATGAAAAAAATCGTAAAGCACATTACTATTTCTTGATTGAGATGTTAAATTATTGTTATTTACTTGCATTCCTTAACAGAAAAAATCATTTTAGCAGCTGACTGTTGTGCTTGATTAACTTCTGACTTCTCAGAGAAGCCCAGCGAGCCGGGATACAAAATGTTGGATTCAGTTTGAAATCCCTCATTCCTGTTTTTAAATGGTAAAACGTGGAGAGCTGAGTGGGAATTAAAGCCCTACATGATGCTATGTATTTATACAGTGCGTAACATATTAGATAGGTGCTCTAATAAATGTGCTAAGCTCTGTATTTCCATCGTAACACCTCTTATATCTTACAACATAGACAGACTTCATGATGTATGTTCTCAATGTTCTGCACTCTCTGATATGCATGAAGAAAAAATGCCCTGAAGTGATACAAGTTTGGCTAAAACACCAGATTAGTGTTTCCTCTGATTCCTGGAGGAGCCACTTCGACCACAGATACAACCAGAACCACAGCAGCTCAGGCACAAAAAAACTCACAAAACAACAGATAAAACCAGTGCAGCCAGACGTGTGAGTGTTCATACCTGTGTGTGTGTGTGTGTGTCTGTATGTGTGTGTTGTATATACGAACACAACATTTGTCGCGCTTTGTCACATCCTCCGTGTTTCCTCTGTCAACACGGTCCATGTTGCTCCACCGTCCAGCGCGCCGGCAGCAGGACGCTCCCCGTAAACACTCTGATTTGTGTTTGTGTGCACAGCAGGTGTTTGATTGCGTGTCCCCGTCACACACACACACACACACACGCAGTCGCACACGCTTCCTCCGGCTCTCTGCAGCCTCCACGGCGGCTGACGACGCCAGATGTCGGGATAGACGGATGAATAATTGATAATCGCCGTAGACAAATGAAAACGTTGCTTAATGTTCTGCGTGTGCTGTTTGTGTTTGCTGATTGTGTGCGATCACGAGCGGTGTGTGAGCATTTAGAAGAAGAAGAAACAACGTTGTGTGACGCAGCCGCACTTAAACAGCATCATAAACAACCTGCGAGTTTGTGGAAACTGTCGAAATCATAATGAAAACTGATTTGTTTTCCTTTCGCGACACACATGCACTCAAGTATGTGGCAAATCAAACTTTGCGGTGTCAAGCACTTGTGTAATGTCATTGCAATTTTTTTATTTTCTGTCACAATCAGTTAAAATGACAGAAAAGCCTGTGATTTCCTGAGCAGCTCCATTTATCAGCCGGATATCACCAGAACTAATTGCAGGTAGCTGAGTGTCGGTGAAGTGGAACAGTGGAGCGGAGAGCTGACAACTTAATTCACGTTGTCAAGCTGCGGAGAAATAAGCGATGTGTGTGTCAACTGCGTCGTGTGTTTCCATGACAACAGGATTGTTTTTATTGACTCCCATCAGCCCCTTTGGCAAAATGGGGCCAAACTGTGACACAAAATCAAATCTAACTGGATTTGAAGGGGGACAGATTGTTTTTTTTTTTTATGTTGATCTGTGTAAAGATATTATTTCTATATTAAGTTGGTGCAATATTAGGATCAGCTCCAGGTCCGTTGTGTGTAATCTGGTTTGTGCTCATTTGTTTCAAAATCTGTTTGGGCAAAAAATTTGAATTTGGATAATCGAACAGAACTCACTTGAAAATCAAACTAAATGAGCATTTTTAGCTTCTTTTAGCTCATTGTGTTGGTTCTATGGCTCACATATTCCCTGTTTCTTAACTCCCTGCTGACTGGGAAACATAATGGAGCATTTAGAAGCAAAAATTCAGATATTTCCTTTTGTAGTTGGTGGAGACCAAAGCAGAGCTAAAAGGAGAATGAGAGTACTGGGTTTAGGATTCTAAAATAGACGTAAATAGTAGCTTTATGTCTGAACAGGTTCAATAGATCCATTACTCTTAATAGATTTGCTGTTTTATCGTTTTGCCTTTTTCAAATTTTTGCTAATTTTATCTCAGTTCTCTTGTCTTTGTACACCTGAATCTGATTATTTGTGTCAGATATGTTGTTAAAGAGGCCACCATGGAGCTCTAGGGTTAAATAAATATCGACTTTGTACGGGTGAAAGATAGACGACACAACTTTATTATTCCACAGGAAAATTCTTGTGCCAGAAACTGCTCAGCAAAAAAATACATATCAAGAAATGCAGTGCCTAAGAGAAACGCAATAGACTATAGATACGGTACATCGTTAAAAATAAAAAAAAGAATAGAAAAGTAAGAAGTAATACTGGTGATGAGACTGATGTAGAAACTTAATATTGCACATGGAGTGGAAATTTTGCTTATGAAATGAAAATATTCCACATTATAATACGTCAGTGTTACGTTTACGGTTTGCTGTGTTGCATCTAGTGACTGAAAAAGATAAAGTGAACTTTTACTAATCTTACAGTGGGGAGATTTGCAGAAGAGATAGTGTAAACATGTGTATAATAATTATAGAACAAATAAATAAACAAAAAATATACATAGGTACTGATACTTTAATATGTACATGTTCAGATGGATGGATGCATGGATTCCTCTTGAAAATAACAATATTGCATATTAATAGTATTGTACAGATAGGACGGGGCCATATCATACCGTGCACGGTATTACTGGTGTAATGTTAGGAGATGATAGGAAATTAAAATATCGCGATAAAATTTGAGTGAAACGTGCATGTGCAGTGTCGTTGTTTTCGTCCGGTCTAATGCACATGGAGCGAAAGGCATGGAGGAGGACAAATGACCGACACAGTAGGGCTGAACCAGAACATCGGAACATTCGGCCGTTGTGGTGGCGTCCACATAGCAATTCTGAAATCCGAATATTTGCCCGCCGCTGAATCCTGATGTTGTGGAGTTTTTAAATGTGTAATATATTCATAACACACAGGTCTGAATGTGTTGATATTGCAGCAAAACATAGTAAAAGCTGTAACAAAATGTAGGTGCAAAGCCTTCATAGTTTGAGTTGTGTGCTTTGGTTGTTGTTGTTGTTGTTGCATATTTCTAAATTCGAATCTTAAACCAAACGTATCCCACTGCAAATCTGAGGCCAGACAGCGTTCCTGTGCTGAGAACTGTAGTCGCTGCATAGAGAAAGTGAGAAATCAGGGCCCAGCAGCTCGGTTTTATTCTTTATTTTTTTGAAACCCAGGGCCTCCTGTGTCATTAAATATTTAGCTGTTTTGTATTTTTGAATGTGGTCGCAGATTAATCGTGAGGCTGCAATTGTGGTTTCTCGCTGCCTGTATGGAAGTCAGGCAAGGCCACAGTCAGCCGGTGTGTGTTTGTGTGTGTGTGTGTGTGTGTTTGCCAGATCCCGCTTGTCCATTAGACTCCAGCGCTTCCTCTATTCAATCCTGATGAAAACCGAGGCGCTTTTTCAAGGCGGCGGCACTGCAGACATCTCGCCTGGCAATCTGAGGAAAGCCCTGCCGGTGAAATGTGAAGAGAGAGAGGAAGAAAGATGGATTGTTCTGCTGTGTGTGGAGCGCTAACAGGCTCTAAGATTGCAGACTCTCCCCCCCCACCCTCCAGAACTACATATAGCAGCCAGCCGGAGACGGGGATTTGGCTATGCATTACAGCAGGAATACAAATACGCTTTAGTTCCTCTGGAGATGCTGGGATTATGGCGCGTGGGAGAGTTTTTGTGCGTATGTGTGCACGGCTTCGACTGAGCTATATGTCCCGATGCTGCGAGTACATCGGCGGGATGTCTTTTTTTTTTTTTTACATGATACACGAGCAGCTATCCATAATGAATGCCACCGTGCCGCTTATGTTATTAGCCGAACCCGACGCTTTTCCAAATAACACGCGGGGAGAAAAAAAATGCGCTTTTTGCTTGAAATGCGGAATGGAGAAGCGTCGTGTCATGACGATGCATGTCATCCTTATTTCTGGGCTAGCTGCGCCGATGCCGATGCTTCTTCCGAGGCCTGCGAGCGTTTGTTTTGATTGGATTCAGCCGTTCCTGGAGGAGCTTCCTTCCCCTCCGCCGTGATGCGCAGACATCTGGGCACCTGCTGACCACTTAACTGCCTCCGCTCGTCAATAACTCTTTATAAAGATCAATTAGGGGCGATCAGTGGCGGGAACGCCGGCGGGCCCGAGCTGCCACATCGAGCGCTTTCCTCTCTGATGATGTCACCTCCTCCAGACTTCATTAAAGGGTTGTTCCGCTCCAAACAATAAACGCCCTCTCTCCAAAGGTTGCGATGTGGGGGGGAGTTTCCTCCACCTGAAAGTCTCCGAAACACGGAGCCATAAAAATCGATTTAGATTCTTTCATTTATCGTCCGCTCACCTTTTTTTTTTTTGCCCTTGCGAAAGTTTACACATTTTACAGCCCCGATTGATTACACGCCACCGTTTTCACTTCACTGTGTCCTTTTTTTGGCCGTGGAGTGCTGTTCACCCTCCACTCGTATCTGACGCCGTGATGAATGTGGTTGTCATGACAGCCGTGGCGGCCAATGAGCTCGCAGGGATCAGTGTGTATGTGTGTGTGTGTGTGTGTGTGTGTGTGTGTGTGATGTCCAGCTGCTGACAGACAGCCGAGCCGACCTTTCACCTCCTAACCTTTTCTTCCATGCTGATTATTAATCCTACTTACAGTGCTCTTCCTGTGTCCCTCCATCGCAAATTAACCTTTCTCTTCTTCTTCTTCTTCTTCTTCTCTCCCTTTCTCTGTCCTTTCCTGTCACTCCTCCCCTCCCCCTCCCCTCCCCTTCCTTTCTTTTCCTTCTCGCAGCAAACTTATTCACGTGAAAATTATTGACGATGAGGAGTATGAGAAAAACAAGAACTTCTTCCTGGAGCTGGCCGAGCCTCGCATGGTAGACATGAGTCTGCAGAAAGGTGCAGTACTGAGCCTGTTTCTCTCTTGCTTTGTCTTTTTAATCTTCTCTGTCCACCTCCTTCACCTCAACTTTTCATTCTGCTGCTCTCTCTCCCTCCCTCCTTCCTTCCTCTCACCCTCCACCTTTACTTTATACACCCCGCTGTGGAGTCTCATTCATATTAGAGCAGAAAAACTGCTGCAAAATCAATGACAGTCTCCCCAGACGGCGGCGTCATCTGCATAAAAAGAGAGCGGGGAGTCTAGGAGGCTGCTTTCATTTACCGTCTCCAAGGAGCAAGTGGCCATTATTATGTAAAGACACGTTTTTACCTAAATGCAGCGTCTAGTGGCTATTTTTAACAAGCCCGGGTGACAAATGCAAGCAAATTGCTGTCGGTGAAATGAGATTATCGATTTATTTCTCGCAATGAGACAGGACTGTTTGAGTTTTGACAGTTTGCAGGAACTTTACGAGCACAAGAAGCTCATTTTTTTCAGCTCACATGGAGGTCACATTTCCCTCAGCGGGGGCCACGTTAGTCACTGTTCCTCTGCACAACTAGTTTGTCTTTAGGCAACAAGGTGAACACAGGAGCAGAAGAATTCAAATCAAGTTTTCGTCATAAGTTTTTTGTTTGTTTTCTTTGTTTCCGGCCTGCTAATGTCTGCTGAAAGAAGCCAACAGGCATTTTTTTTCTTTAAGATGTTTCTTTTTTTTCCCCCCCCCTGCTCACCGTTATCTAACGCATGTGTTATCTAACCACACTCAAGGCCGAGGGAGAGACGGGAGAGGCTCTCGCCGAGCTGGTGCGGAGGGCGCACGATCTGACGCTCGGCGGTCGCCTGCGAACGCTCCAGCTCATTATGTTTACGTTATTGGGTCTGGCAGCGCCGTCTGAGTTTGTCGGAGCCGTGATGAAGAGCGGTTACTACGCAGGTCTTCGTGAGTGACGGCTGCTCTGCTCCAAACACTCCTCCGCCCGCTCTCTGATGCTGCTTTTTTTTTAATTCCCTGCTCGTGTCGGTGCAGGTTTTACCCACACACGAACCCAAGCCCTCATTTAGACGTCTTGCTTTGTGAAATCTATAAAGAGTAGCCAATCTAGACGCCTTAAACAACACATCTGATCGTGCGTGACCTCCAGCCCGCGTTCGTTGCTGCTGCTTTGTAACTTCTCTGTACTTTGTTTGCTGCTGCTGTGCTGTGTTTAGCGTCCATCATCTTCCTGCGGGCTAATCGTCAGTGACCACAGGACTCTCAGCTGTTCAGCATAAAGTTATATAATCTTGCTTTATAGCAGGACCAGCTGATCATCGCGGCTCGCAGAAGAACTGAGCCAGAGGGGGCCTGTAATAAAATATTCAACATGAAATATGGAATCGCACATGAAACACACTGAGCAAGACATGTCAAGAGAACTGCCCGTGAATGAAATGAAGGCAAGCGCTTATATGAATACAAAGATACTTTACTCGGGTTTCTTTTTACAAAAAAACTACAGCTGTGTTCTCATTTTACGTTTTGAAAGAAGCATATTTTACACCCTAAACGTGAGAGTGTGACGCTGTAGAAAAGGTTTACAGTTTGAAAGAGCCTCAAAGTCAGCAGCAGGACATTTATTCTGAAAATTCAGTTTACTTGTGACTCTCTATTTGGTCACTCTTTCACAAATGTTCCTGTAAATGTTGTGTTTTACTGTTTTCTGACAGTGCAACGGTCGTAATTTACTTAAAGTTAACTACTGTATAAGTCACAGCAGAGTTTTACAGAAGAATATCAGGTTTACTGTTCAATTCTGTGACTAGACTTCCCAGTAATATACTCTATTTATAGAACGTTGCCACTGAAATCAACATTAAATTTATTTATTTTTTTTACAGTTTAAAGCATTTTTTGTCTTTGAAAGTGTACAAACGCTGCTAAGTCATAGACATATACCATAAATAACAACATGTCATCAATATTTATGATCCACAGTTGAGATCTACCAACGTATTTAACATTTAAAACAATAAAAGATGATATTAATGAGGCAAATTACATTTTCATGGACCAGCAACATTTTTTCAAAGGTGGCAATGTCTGACGTATTGTAGTGCATTTCATATATTTTAGAAATCAAGGAAAAATAATTTAATTTAATTTGCATAATGTGAAAAAAGGAAAAATGCCCAATCTTACAACATCAGTGCAAAGTTTAGCATGAATATTTTTAGCTTCCTGAATCAAGTTGCTGCTATAAACAGTGTTTTAACTGTTGTGCAAAAATGTTTTGTTCAGTTTTCTGCAGCAGTTTGATGTCATTCCTGTTTTTGGTTCCAACAAAAGATTTTACAGTTTTTTTTTTAATTGTAATTTTTTAAAAAACGGTACACCACTGTTTAATTGTAGCTGCGTTTTTCTATCATTTAATAGTTACAGTGTAGCTTTAGGAAAATAGAACAATTTGTGTTATAGTACGATTCTTTCGCGGCACATTTGAAGCTTCTCCTCCATTTTCTGAGTCCAGCCCCATCAAGTGTGTGAAAGGAGGGAACAGTCGAGCAATAAAATAATTAGGAACAATATATTGATTTCAAGCATATTTGTGAAACATTACAAACCAACGTAATCCGATTTCCTCAAAATTAAACTGAGAATGACGTTTAGTTGTAGGAACATACATTTTAGTCGACGGCGCTGCTCAGTCAGGTAATAAATGTCATGATGTGGATTTTTTAAATGTCTAATGTGGATATTTAGAGAACGTCTTACATGTAATACTGATGTTCTTCATGTTTCTGATAAAATAGAAAGAAAGCCAGTAAACTGTGGACCTTTAGTGGACATCTGTGTTGTTTCTGTCGTAGCAGAGCTGCTCGATTTGGTGGAAATATCTGCTTTTGATTTCTCTGACGGACGTGATTTGATTCGTGGTGCAATTGTTTAAAATCAAGCTTCAGCTCCGTTTTCACTGTGCGACAGATTTGAAACGTGATGGGGCTTTGCCACACGAGTCGACGTGAAGAGCGTGACTGTCGCACGAGGAGGACATGAATCTGTAAAACCACTGACACGACACTTTAAACTGGGTCAGATGCTCTGCAGGAACGTACGAGGTGTCGCTGTGAAGTAATCACACTGGACTTGTATCAGTCAGACCTCAGCCTGAACCACACGCTGCACAGTAAATACATGAATGACAGCATTAGTGCCTTTATTTAGTCTCACTGTCGGTACATCCTGAACTACAGCTTTTGCTATTTGCTAATTGGATTGTTTCAATTTCAAATCAGTTAGTTGCTCGACTCTATTAAGTAGATCTGGCTACAGTACACTTAGTTTACATTATTTAAAATGTATTAAACTAAATAAATGTCCATCGCAGGCCTTCAGCTCGTGATTATTTTCATTGTTGATTAATCTGTTGATTAGTCGATGAGTTGTTTTGTCTTTAAAATGTCAGAAAATGGTGAAAAATGTGGATCAGTGTTTCCTAAAGCCCTAGATGACGTCCTCAGGTTTAGTCCACGAACCAAAGAGATTCAGTTTACTGTCATAAAGGAGGAAAGAAACTAGAAAGTATTCAAATTTAACAAGTTGGAATCAGAGAATTAAGACATTTTTTTCTTAAAAATGTTCCCAAACCAGCGGGGTGCACATAGCTCACCAGGCTAAGCGGCCCCTTCCCGCACCGGGAACTAGTCCCGGTGTCGGAGGCCCCGGGTTCGTATCCCGCTTGGGGCTTGTCTCACTTTTAAAGCCCTGCGATGGACTGGTGACCTGTCCAGGGTGTCCCCTGCCTTCGCCCTAAGTCGGCTGGGATAGACTCCAACCCCCTGCGACCCTAATGAGGATTAAGCGGTGTATAGATGATGGATGGATGTTCCCAAACCTACAATTTATAATATATAATATAACATAAATTGATAACTGTTGCAGCTTTAATCTTTAGCTAATCTACACTTATCACAGGTTAAAACAAAAACATATGAAGGATTGAATAAAAACGTTTAGCGCTCTTACCAGTATTGATGAGCTCCCGTCCTGCTGACCTGGTGAACAGATTCTGCGCTGTGCTCAACTGCTGTTTAGAGATTTATCTTAACTCAGGTGCACCTTAGAAAACAACATGAGCTGCTGCAGACTGGCCCAACACAGACACCGTTCACCATCCCAGTTATCTCAAAATGGCATTTAATCATATCTCACTAATGAATGCATGTTGATAGATTGGTTGCATGTGCACGGTGGATGTCAGACCTGCAAATTCCAGCTGCTAACATAAAATCCAGGAAAAGTGATTCTTCAGCACTAACAAAAATTGCAGCAGGACTGTTGAGTTGAGTGCAGCGAGGACAGACAGCGGAGGCGCAGAGACGAGGAGGAGGACGAGTTATCTGAGATGAAGATGGGTAATGACAGCTGCAGCTCAGGAAGACTCGTGCCAATGGCCAGGTTCAGTCCCAAGAGATCAAAACATCTGCTTTGTTTGGCATCACACATGTGTGCTGCAAGAAACTCCGGATTCCCAAGTCCATCCACTGGTTTTTCTTCATCTTTCCTTCTTCACCTTTGACATATTTGTCTTTATTTATGGTGCAAAGTGACAAAAAAATGTCCCGACGTTAGAAACACGACTAATGAGAGCGCTCCTGCTGTTGACAATGAGTAATATGAGACACTTGCTTCTTTTTTTTTAATGCAGGAGCTAATGAATGTTTGATCAGGGGTAATAAATGTTTGATCTCTATATGATGAGGAGGTAATGAAAAAGCTTTTTCCCTATTATTTCCAGCGCACGATCATCTTTTATGAATGTGGCTGATGTGCCGATGAAACCGCTTTGATTCCGAATTAGAGGAAACAGCAGCCGGCGTTTTAGGGGTTACGGTTTATTCTCCTGCTGCTGCTGCTGCTGCTGCTGCCGGATCACAGGGATGTGAATGATATGATAATTCCTCACTTTTCATATATAATGTAGCGATTATATTGTGGTTCATAACCGCTGATGTGGGGCTGATTGGGTTTGTTTTTCCTCCTTATTAAAGCCGGAGTGGAGGAGCAGAATTGATGAATATTCTATGAGAGTCTTTGTTTTGTTTTTTCATATGCAGCATCCTTGTTCTATTTCCTCACAGCCCTTCTGCACCAAACAACAAACTTGTTTCTTTACGTATTGTTTCTTCTATTTATGATGATAAAATAAAAAAACAACACACACACAAAGAGAAAAAGCTCGTCAGATCTCATTTTAACTCTGATTACCGGCGGTTGCATCACTCATTGTGATTTTTCGGGGTTCGTTCGTACGATGCCGGTAGCAGGACCTGGCAGATGTGAGCGAGTCCCGAGCTGGCAGGTCTGACTTTGGACAGTGTGTGAGTAATGAAAGCAATCAAGCCAACAGTCACCCTGACCTGTCAGTCTGGACTTGTTTACTGCCGGCTCCAGCAGTGCCCTTCTCTAACTTATACTGAAGTGGTCAATACCATTAGCACCTCTGCTGCTGCTGCTGCTGCTGCAGAGTCCCAATGAGTCATTTTTCCCAGTTTGTTGAGGACAGAACCGGATTATTGTGACTCTGCTGCTGAGGCATGTCCATGCTCATGTGTGGACTTCTGTTCCTCTTATGGGGCTCGTGTTGACACCGACGTCATTCCAGTTTCCTTGACATCGGAGCGTTTATTTTTGTTTTCATAAGCAAAACTATATATACAGACATTTATTTGTTTTGCTTGATTTAACCACATGTGCTGCACATATTGCCTTTTGTTTTTGAGGATGGAAGTACAATGTGTGAGGCGTCTATAGAGTGAAACAAGCTACTGATTATTAGAGTGGATCAACTGTTTTTTAGAAATGCATTGCTCCTAAAGCAAACTGCATTATATGAATACGTTTTTTTAGTTTTTTGGGATTTATCTATACGACTATTCAAATGCAGCTGCATTGTTGTGATTCGTTGCAC